TACACCATGGAATACTATGCAGCCATAAAGAAAGACGGAGACTTTACATCCTTCATGTTCACATGGATGGAGCTGGAAAATGTTCTTCTTAGCAAGGTATCACAAGAATGGAAGCAAAAGTATCCAATGTACACACCCCTATTATGAAACTAATTTATACCTTTTATATGTAAGCTATAACCTAATAACAGCCTAAGAATATGGGGAGGAGGGAGGGAGAGGGGAGAGGGGAACATGTGGAGGGAGGGGGATTGGAGGGATCACTTCTGAGATTTATCTTACAAGGGTACAAGTGAATCATTCTAAGAGCAGAATGTGAACGTTTTAAAATGATAACTAAGAAAATGACATGAAGGCTATGTTAACCAGTTTGATGGAAGTTTTTCAGATTGTGTATGAAAGCCGTACACTGTACCCCAGAAGTGCATTAATGTACATAGTTATCATTAAATAAAAATAAATAATTAAATAAATAAAAATAAAATAAAATAAAATTATCCAGTCTGTGGTATGTGTATTTTGGTATAGCAACCTGAAGAATGCTAAGACATCAGACATGGGATTGATTTAAAGAAAAGGCCAATGCTGTTGCTTACATGCCATTCAAATGTTGCAGTGGCGATTCCTGAAGATGCTCCTGTCCCTGCCAATCCCACAAAGTGGGTGCTGCCGATGTTACTGGCAAAGAGAGAGGCTCCCATCTGGAACACAAAAGAGGATATTAGGATTTGAGTACAGTGACCCAAATCAGACTTCTTGAAAATGGATTGAATTGCAATATTTCAATCCCTACTCCTCAAAACAGGAGTCAGTAACCTCATGAGCTAAATTCAGCCTGTCACCAGCTTTTGTGTGTCCCATAAAGCCAAGAATGCTGTTTACATTTTTGAAGTATTAAAAAAGGTTTAAAATATATACATAAAAATATTTTGTGAGATGTGAAATTGTGAAAATTTGAAATTGTATGACTCAAATTTCAGTGCCCATAAATAGTTTTATTATAACACAGCCATGCTCACTGGGTTTACATAGTGACTATGGCTTCTTTTGTTCTACAGTGGCAGGGTTGTGTGGTTGCAATAGCCTATACAGTCCACGATCCCTAAAGTAATTGCAATGTGGTCTTTATAGAAAAGTTCCTTGAGTCCTGCCTTTGGGAACATTGGTCTATCTACCTAAATGCTTTGATTTGAGCCTGTCCCTGGCTCAAGATCCAAGAACAGCCAGACCTTCCATCCCACCAGTTCCTGCCCATTTAATCAACCTAGAGGACCCCAAAGCTGATTAGGAGGGAGTCGCTCTCTGTCCTTCCTGCCATGGCACCCTCTTCTCACTCATCTCTTTTTCAGTATGTTGCCTGCTGTTCTTAAGGCTTGATGTTTAAAGCAATATCTTGAGTGGATGCAGATGAACTCCAGTTCTAGCAGAACAGCAGTGGGGTATGGGACCTGCCTTGGTTCTTCTGTTCCCGTGTTTTTAGCCCTCTGTGAATTCACTGTTTCTATTCAGATATTTGGGGCAAAAGGAGGGGATTTAACTTGTTTGTGGCTTTGGGATTGCTTCGGCCTTACATGTTTTCCTAAACATTCCTCAGAAGGAAATGTCTGATTGAATTACCCAAATAATCCATTCCATGCATGCAGCTGGTCTGCTTAAACCACGACAATCTCCACTTCCCTTCATACCATTTAGAAAATGGGTCCACAGACCAGTGAAAGAAGCATTTACTGAACACCTACTGTCTATCCAAGCCAGGGCTGATAGTCTCCACAATCAAAGAGGAAGAGGCAGCCTCTGCTGCAATGGAATACCATCCCTGAGGCCACACATCTGAACCCACAGTGCAAGGGTCAGAGAGACATCACCACTAGCACCCTCACAGGGACACCACCCACTGCCACTAACTGCATAGAAGAGAAAGTCTAGACATGCAGGGCAGGGCTGGAGTTAGGGGTCTTCCCAGATGAGGAAGAGCTTAAGACAATCATTGAAAGAGGGGAGCAGGGGGATGCGGGAATCCAAACCAGAGTGGGAGTCTGAGCTCAGAACTGGGCAAAAGAAGCAAGGTGCAGGGCTAGTTAGAAACCAAAGCAGAGATTTCTTAAAGAGATTAGAATAAAAAGAATATCAGTTAGGGCTGAACTGAGAGTACTTAAATGCCAGACTCCATCTTCTGTCATAACTGGTGACACAACATATTTCCACAAATCATAGGGCAGAGCCATGAGGTCAGGGATTTAGGGAAAAGAACCACCAACAAGTGGGCTACCAATATGCATCAGAAATGACCACATCCCAAATGTTTTTGATATTTGCTCTTAAACACACATCCAGGAATTTTATGTACAGGATGCTGTGGTCCACTTACCGGCCACCAGGCTATCTCTCGGCCAGCCAGAAAGAAGCCTCCCACAGAGCCCCGGTTGGTCCTCAGCATTGCCTGAGCAGAAGGGAAGACAGGGGAGGGTCACACCACAGGAAAAGCACCCAATAGAGCCTACATACTCTGGGCAGTGCTGTTGGTGGTGGCTTTTTCAGCACTCCTACACAGAGAAACTTGTTCCCAAAAACTTATATAGCTTCAAATTTTAAAGTACTTCTAAGTCATAGTGATACAAAAACCCAGAACTGGGATAATTTTAAGAAATCCTATTTCTCAACTTCTGTCCCAACTTCTCTGTTGATTTGTTATTTATGAAAACAACATGAGGTAACACTTTAACTGTTCTTGGAAGGAAGTTTGCAGCCTCAAACTCATTACTGAAAAGAAAGAATAAATGTCAATGGATTAAGCACCCAACTCACTAAGTTAGAAAGTGAGCTAACAACAAAGGAAGGCAGGAGAAATGAAATCATAAAAGAATAGTACATCTGTTCTGTATAACAGGTGCTAGAGATGCCAAATAGAATAAGTCTGAGAAGCTCGGTGCTGGTCATGATCACACAGTGGGGCTTCCTGGAGAATAAATTGTCAGTGTAAGCATTATTTTTGTCACGCACATGCACACACACACACACAAAAGCAATTCTGGGAAAAAAAGACAAGGACATTCGCAAAAACTCTCAGTCTTGTCTCAGCTTTGTCATACCACAACTTTCCCTCCCCCCTGTGCCCACCCTGAAAGCCCACTGGTTTCCCACATACCCACAGCCCAACAGCCATCACCACCACAAAATACACAACAATGACAGAGATGTCCGTAGGGTTTTGGATACGCTCTGACAGTGCAGGGGACTCTGGGGTCCCAGCCATGGTGCTGGGGCTTAGAGTGCTGGCCATGGCTACAGGAGGTGCTATCCCCATCTCAGGGATGAATCTTTCTTTTTATAAGTGCTGGATTAATCATCAGCCTCAGGCAGATGGGGTGAGGTAGCAGAGACAGCTCTGTTGTGTGGGACCTTTAAACCTCACCTTTGAAACCTAGCTCTGATGTTCTGGCCCTCCAAAGGTTGATGTTAGGGAGTGAGAATGATGGGTGAGGGGCCAAAAATGTAGAATAATTGGAAGTGGAGAGTGGGGTGTTACAGAAATGAAGTGTCTCTAGGAGCATGGCATGTGGTGTTGGGAGCCATCCTCCTGGGAGGCAAGGACCCCCAGTTTTGAGGAACTACATCTGAGTCAAGGACCAAATGCAACCTGGCCCCAGCAGTTTCCTTTTATGGCTGGATCCTGAACCAGATTAGAATGGAGACATGCCCTTTTGATCATCACAGACTGCTGAGAATGATATTCTGCCCTTAGGCTGTTTTTAATCAAATTATGCAATTATGACAAAATCATGCCTTCAAGCTACTGTCTATAAAATCTGTGCAATAAAGCTGAGGTTGCCTTTTCCTATTGAGGAAAGGTCCTCCTGATCCCACTATTTTCCGTCTCTTTTCCGTCCCATGCTGGTCTACTCCCAGGTTTTCTAATAACTTTGCTAGGCTGGTTCCTGACAGGTGGCATCCAGTACAGGGACCTGAGGAATACTGACCCTGCAGAACACTCCTCTGAGAGAGTTGTTTTGCAGTGCTGTAGTTGAGTCATAGGCGAGTCCTTAATGTGAAGTAGGTCAAATATTTCTGTAAATTTAGGTAATTGAGGGGGTGCATTGTTTGTCAGGAGTAAAGCATGGGACAGTCTAGGTCAAAGGACCATGATGTGTATATGTGCAAGTGTTAGTCTATGCACACAGCTCACAGAGCCTGGGTGCGGACTCATCAATTGGAGAATTTTCTGCAGCTTGTGCAGGAGCTATGCCCTAGGTTCCCTGAAGAGGGAACTACTAATCAGGATACTTGGGCTAAAGTTGGGTCCCGTTTGAGAGCTTATTACACTGCTCGAGGGCCTGATGGGATTGACTTTTACCATCTATAATTTGGTCAAGGATTCCCTCAGCCTGAAACCTGAGGTTGAGCGCATAAGTCTCCTCCAGTGCATTCCTTCTGTACCCGTTCTCAAGGTTCGGGATGCCTCTGATTTTCTCCCTAAGGAAGATCCTAGTCTTCAGAGGAAGTGCCACAACTCAAGGAAGAAGTTGCTTCATATCATAAGGAGGAGGAGCCTCATGGGGACGAAAATTATAGTGACAATTTTGAGGGAGTGCCTACCAAGGATATGATTAAAGCTTTCGCAGTCTTACAGGCTGCCTTTAAGAAAAAGGAGTGGGATCGCTTCCTGTTCCCTCCCTCTACAGCTCCTATTGTTCCCCGGCACCTACAGTGCCTGTTCCCCTGGCTTCTGCAGGTTTTGCTCCCTCTGCTC